GCTCTCTGCATAGTATCTGGCTGTGCCTCTCTGTATTTGTTTCCATCTGCTGTAGAAGGGAAGCTTTTCTGATGATGGCTGAGCAAGACACTGATCTATGAGTGTAGCAGAATGTCATTAAGAGTTTTTTTTTTTTTTTTTTTTTTTTAGAACAGTAGTATTTGGTTTTACCCTAGGTCCCTAGGCAATCTAGTCTCAGGCTTTTGGTCACACAGCAGTGTTGGGTATGGGTTCCAATCTTGTGGAGTGGGGGTGGGCCTTGAGTCAAATCAGATACTGGTTGGCTACTCCCACAAGCTTTGTGCCACCATTGCCCTAGCATGTCTTGCTAACAGGATACCATTGTAGATAAAGAGGTTTATGACTGGCTTAGTGTTTATTCATCTCCTTTGACTGCATGTAGAGTACCTTCCTGTACCAAAGACACTGGCATGCAGGGTGAAGTCTCTATGCAGGGACCAGCTCAATGTCTCCATGTTCAGTGAGATGAGTAGGTGTTGTCTTCAGCAATGGGGCCCTGCCAGCAGTTTGTGGAGAGCAACTATATAGCCATCTCTTATTGTCTGCACTTTGACTAGTTAATTGCTTCTGTGTTAATTGCCATTTACTCTTAATGTGAGTTGAAGGATCCATTCATCTATAAAGATCTATCTTTATGTGTATGTGTGTGCTTGTGTAAATACACACTACACATGTGACAGCACCCTGGAGGGCCAGAAGAAGCTTTCTTCTAGTTGCTGAGTGATAGTGGAACTAAAAGAAGGGATGATTGACAGGGAGACCAGTTAGGAAGTGACACAGTGATCCAGGCCCACAGGTTAAAACCTCTTCTCCTGGTCCATATACTAGGAAGGGAATTTCAGAGCCTGTGCCCTTAAAAACCAGTCTTGACCCAAAACAGTTGCAATGTGTCGTGTCCACACCTGTCTCCTTTACAACCACACCTGAAGGGCTTCTTGACTCTAAGGCCAACTCCGGCTGTGCTCTATGTCTCCACCAGATGGAGCAAGAGCCTCATGGGCATCAGGGGACCCTGCAGGCTGAGATGGGGTAGGGCTCTTGCTCCAGAACTACACCTGGCCCTAGAAGCCGGGCTGCGTGTAGAATCTATGTGCACAGCCCTTAGTTCTGAAGGTGTGAGAGAACTGGCGGGAGCCAGATCAGGGGCAGGTCCTGGGTGGCCATGCTTAGCAGTCTCCCACCTGCCTGTTGAGAAACCTCTGTAGAAGGACTAACCACCTACTTTGAACAGGCTGAAAGATTCTGGAGAGAAGCCAGGGAAAGGAACTTCGCGGCCTGAGGACCTGCAGCTCATAGGCCGCCTGCAGACGCGCCTGAAGGAGAGAGAGGACATCATCAGGCAGCTCACGGTGAGGACTAGGCCGGAAGGGGCGGTACTGCCCAGCCCGCGGAGTAAGCGTGCCTGCTCTGAACCTGGCTTTTCTGGAGTTGCCCAAATAAAATGCCGCCCATCAATCCTTCATTATTTTCCCCTGTTACTACTAAGTACTCATAAAAAAGAGGGGCGGTGGTAGCTGGAGAGATGGCTCAGAGGTTAAGAACACTGGCTGCTCTTCCAGAGGACCCAGGTTCAATTCCCAGTACCCACATGGCAGCTCACAACTGACTATAACTCTAGTTCCAGGGAATCTGACACCTTCACACCAACGCACATAAAATAACTTTAAAAGAGAGAGAGAGATACAGGCAAAGAAAAAAATCCTACTCCTAAGTTTAACAGCACTTGTTTGATATTGATTCTGTTTTTTAGCCTACAGAATTTGATAAAAATCCATTTACTTCTCGTGGGACTTTAATAGAATCATTCAAATTTGCCATTGTTGACTTTCCTTTTGTATGATCCACCACCTGTTTTCCAGCAGCCAGCCCATTCCCTAGACCCCCTTGGAGATTATTTCTAAGTCCTTTGATTCTATACCTCAAGAACCATTAAGAATTGATGCTCTTTTCCTTAGGGATGTCTTCCCTTGGTCTGTCTTTGACTCTTAGAATTTTATTAATAAGGAATAACTGCTAACGTGGTAAGTGTAGGAAGGTATTGTAGTTATGGTCGTCTTTTTCAATTGTTTATTTATTTATTTATTTATATTTAGGTGTGTATATGTGCACGCCACATGTACACAGGTCCCCTTTCAGCCAGGCTAGGGTGTCAGACCCCCTGGACCTGGAGTTACAGACATTTGTGAACTGCCTGATTATAGGCACTAGGAATTGAACTCAGGTCCTCTGGAAGAGCAGTAAGTGCTCTTAACAACTGAGCTAACTCCAGCCCCGGTTAGGATTATCTTAAAAGAAAAGTCACTCAGGTTAAGAACACTCATTGCTCTCATAGCAGGCCCAGGCTCAGTTCCCAGCACCCACATGTGCGGCTTCAGTCCTTAGCCCCACACAAATCAAGTGTGGTGGCACATGCCTGAAACGCAGCACTTGGGGGTCAGAAAGAGATCAAAAGTTTAGGGCCATGCTCATCCTTGGCTGAATAGTATGTTTGAGGCCAGCTTGGAGTACCTGAGACCCTGTTTCAAACAAAGGCAAGGGAGAGACAGGTTGAAATTTTTTGAGTATGGGGAAGAGTTTTCTTTGATTAATTACTATTTTTGTACTAGACTTTACTTTCAGATGCTCAGTATAGTTAGATTTATTTTCCTTGCTAAGGCAGCTTCCCCTTTCCTTCACTGGTAACATGAAGCCTGGAGTGTTTCAGTGATTGGCCACTTGACTGCCACTCACCTGCCCGCTCCACTTCTCCAAGGCTCTCGTTCTGCCCTTCCGCCACCTGGACAAGACCAGTGGCACACGCCTAAGCACTCTAAGACCTGGTTGCATTGATCTTCCAGGAAGAGAGAAGATTTCACTATGCGGCCTTCCCCAGTGCGATGTCCCACCGGAATCGGTCCTTCTCTTTCAATCCTCACCCGGGATACTTGACCCCTTCCATGAAGGTAACTCAGTTTTAACACATCATACAATCTGCAGGCTTCTTTTCTTCTCAAAGTAGCTGCAGCACATTGATGGGCTGGTGGGCATTCAGTGGAACAGTCTAAAGTGCTAGCAAACAGTACTGAGAGATTATGTGTGGCTTGTATTTTCTATGAACCTTTGTGTTTTCTAAAGCAAATATGTGTCACTATTAATATCCCATCTAGATAATGGGAAAAAGGGGTAATAGTAAGACTATCCCACTTCTTCCTTTATTTCTCTATAATAAAATCTCAAAATGTCTTGTGGATTTTGTAAAAAGGAGCATTTTCACAACTCCTTCATCTCCTGCCACAGATCCCTACAAGTTGAAAAGAATCAGCATCTCATAGCTCACAGAGTAACAAACCTGGACTGAGTGGGCCTGACAGTATCTCACTTGTGGTTTTCAACTTATCCATATTTGGAGCAATGTAATTTGCACTGTAGAGGCTAATGCCATATGCCCTCAAAAATATTTTTGAAATGATAAAGTATGCCTTTCCCCAAGTCTTAGATAGAGATCATAGACCTGAGTTTTTTAAAGATGTGAAATAAAGATTGGAGAAAAAATAGTTTGAAGGGATGGGGCATAGCTCAGTGGAAGATCTCTGACATGCATGAAGCAGGGATCTCATCCCCGGCACTGCAATAAATTATCCATTAAGTTAAACAAAATTGAGGCATGGTTTCACTATGTAACTCTGGCTGGCCTAGAATTTACTGTGTAGATCAAGCTGGCCTTGAACTCACAGAAATCTGCCTGCCTCTCTTCCTGAGTGATGAGATTATTAAAGGCATATGGTAATATGCCTGGCCCCCAAACAAATTTTCAGACAATATATAAGTATATAAATATTACCTCTTTCCCTTGTCGTTTGAGTCCGGTAAGCCTATTTGCTTTTATACTAATGCTGTTTCCCGAGTAGCGCTAACAGCTTCCCTCTAACACAAACAGAAAAAGAAGATGGAGGAAGTGCCCAGCCGCGTGGTCAGCGTGCCAAACCTTGCCTCCTACGCAAAGAACTTCCTGAGCGGAGATCTGAGCTCCAGAATCAATGCCCCTCCCATAACTAAGTCACCCAGCCTGGACCCAAGCCCCAGCTGTGGCCAGCCTTACAAACCCACCCAGTCACTCGATGGGAAAACTGCCACAAGGTGTGTGGAGGGGAGGGTGAAGGTGGTACTCTGTTTCTCCAAGGGCAAGGAAGAAATTGGTGTCTTCTCAGGTACCTGCTAAGAATCCGGTATCTGATCTAAAGAGGAGCCCAGCCTTGGACAATGACAGTCCAGCCAAATGGAAACACTGATGATAGAAAGAAACTGTTGTTCTTTGGAGTTCTGGTGCCAGATTTTAGAAGGCCTAATTTTTATGCAATCACTTTATTAGATCTGTATTCAAAATCCTTTTTTTTTTTTCCCCCCTTGGCTGTGTGGCCTTGGGCAGGTGACCTCTACAGCTCCCTGTATTTCTATCTTAAAAATGAATACAGCACCTACCTGATGAGATTAGTGTGACTAAAGGAATTAATCCGGAAGATATTCTCACCCTCAGACCCGACATAGAAATGTGTCCTCTAGCTAAGGCTACTTTTCAGTGTGCATGGTATTATCAAGGCAGTTAGAGCCTCGCAATGAGTGGCTGAGTGTAGGTGGTGCTGACACACCTTTCTCATCTTCCCCTGTAACGTGCTTCTCTTCCAGAGGTGTGTGGGTTCACCTTTGTCTACTGTTTTCCTTCTTATCAAGCCCTCCATTCAAAGGGCATGCTTTTAAGTTCTGAGCTTGAGGTTCGCATTTAGAAAGGTCCTCCTCTAAAATACTCTGGTTCCAGAAGTTCTCTGTATGCCAGCCTGCCCATGGCTGTTTAGACCTCAAATGTGAGCCAGGACTAACTGGCCACCCCTGGATGAATGTAGCCCCTTTGGGTCCTTCCTGAGGAAAAAGGCCTAGCGCAGAGCATACCAGTTTGCCAGCTTCTGACTCTCATAGATAGGCACCTGTGCTTCAAGCTAGTGTGTGTGTGTGTGTGTGTGTGTGTGTGTGTGTGTGTGTGTGTGTGTATGTTTTAAATTACAGTATCTATGGGTCAAGTGTGGTGATGCATGCCTTTAGTTCCAGCATTCTGGAGTCAGAGGCAGGTGAATCTACATGAGTTCTAGGCCAGCACACTCTGCATAGTAAGTTCTAAAACAACCAGAGCTACAAAATAAGACCCTCAAAAATTTTGATATTATTTATTGGGGAAGGGTGGCATCTGCCATGGCACACATGTTGACATCAGAGAACAACTTTTGGAAGTCTGTTCTCTTTTACCATGTGGATTCCAGGAATCAAACTCGGGTTCTCAGGCTTGGCAGGCTCCAATTTTATATGAATCTTCACAAACGAAGACTATTTAGCCAGGTGACAGTTTCATGCCTGCTTTTTCTTCTTTTTGATTTATTAGATAAATTTCATAGCTTCACTTAGATGCTCACAAGTAATATTCTACAGAAGACTCATGTTGGAACATTGTTTTGATTATTTTTTTTTAAGTTTTTCAAATTTGGCTTACTGTCTGATACGTGCCTAAAATATAATAACGAATGGTACAAAATGCATCTCGTTAGCACCATAGCCATCAAGTCATCAGTGAAAGAATGGAGAGCAGATGGTGGTTAAAACAAGAACTAGACACTCTTTCCCACTCATCCTTCACAACTCATTTCCAGCTGCTAACATAGCCGGTCATGGTCTAGTATGTTGTGAAGGGATAATAAGCACTTAGCTTCTCTGGGAGAGATGGTAGGGTATTGTTTTTCACTGAATAAGTTTAAAAACCATGTAAATTTTTTCTTTGATTTTAGAGCACAAGATGGAGAACCAGGCCAAGCCAAAGAGGCCCCACAAAAGCAAGGTTCTCCGCATCAGGAATGGTTTACCAAGTACTTTTCATTCTAAACTGGTCTTTGGGATCTGTTCCAATGAGTACATTAGAAAATCATTACAACTATCTGAAGGAATGAATTAAAATCACCCAACCAGGTAACTAGCTGGTACTGACTTACATGTTATAGATTGCTAAAACAAAGTGTGGCACTAACATTCCAGTTTCATTGTGACACCTGCTTATTTTACAATTCTTACAGTTAAAGCTGAAGCAAGCCAGTTATTAAAAAGCACCCCTTGGGCAGGGCAATGGTGGCACACACCTTTAATCCCAGCAGTAAGGAGGCAGAGGCAGGTGGATCTCTGTGAGTTCCAGGACAGCCAGAGCTGTTACACAGAGAAATCCTGTCTTGAAAAACAAAACAAACAAAAAAAATAAATAAAATAAAAAATAAAAAAAGAGAGGGGGGGGGGAGAAAACAAAACAAAACAAAAAGCACCCCTTGGAAAATGCTATTAATCTCTGATGACCAAATTACCAATCATATTTCTAGTGCCTGTAATGTCACACTCCACTTGGTGGGATATCAGACATGTGACTGCCATGGTCTGCTTTAAAAATGTTTTCATTTTTTTTCTTGGTCATCTCCATTCAAAGAATTATGCTATATATTTCCACATATGTAAAATGATAATTCCAAAATGCACATCTCACCTCAATATGAAGAGGAATAAAATAAAGCCAATGAAGACAAAACAAACAAAAAAACATCAAACCTACCAGGAATGGACTGTAGCATGCTTGGACTGCATGTTTTGGCTTCCAAGGTCTAACACAGGCCACCGACTAAGGAGGGACAACACCTACCTCACCTGGGACTCTGCAAGATTAAGCAGTATACTCTAGGTACAGCCATCAGCCGGAACTGGAATGCTCAGTGAACTACTGTTCCACCTGCCACACATCATCTTCAGCGACCATTGTGCAACAGTCTTTTGTGAAGGATTCTAGACTGTCCTCTGATGTCAAAGATTGCTGGACCCCATACATCCCCCTCATATGTATGCCCTCCCCACCGCATGGACTCCCAGGAGAACCGGGAACTGCCCATGGTGCTGAACTTGCGATTGGTCCTTGTCTTACCCTCTGACAGAGCAGATCTGACACAATTTTCAGTGGGTAGATTTTTCTCTCTGGTGCTGGTCCAGCAAGTGGCTTATCAACAGATGCCAATTCTATGCATTGTCAAATATTTGCTCTTTGAATAAAACCCTAAACAACTGGGCAATAAAAATGGCTGTGGCTTGTATAATTAGATGAAGATAGAGCTCTGAAACAAATTTCACATTAAGTTCAGATTGTCTACAAATAAAATGTAGATAATTACATCATTTCTAAAGAAATGTAAGTAAAATAAGTTAACAAGCCAAACACGACTATGTTGTTGTTGTTTCGGTGTTAGAATTTGAATACAGGCTCTTCCTTGCCCCTGGTTAGGGAATTGTTACACCACTGACCTACGCTGCCACCCTGCGATAGATGGATGCAAACATTCGTCATCATATTTGGAATGCCCCATTATTTTTCAGTGCCAACTTTTTCTTTCCTGCTCAGGATGTGTCTGATATAACCTGAAGACACTGCAGTGTTGGACTGCTATACTAAAATTTTCAAGATGGGGTTAATTCACAGACAACAGAAATGTCTTACTTGAGGGCTAAGAAAACCATGAAGGTGCTAGCAGAGAAACCCATCCTTTATCAATCTCCACTATGGGACCTCATGTGCAACGAAGCTGGTTTAAGCCTCTTTAGAAGGGCCCCAGCCCCATTCATGAGCATGTGCCTTTCACTGCTTCGCCACCTCCCACTCTTCACCTCCTAATACTACAGAGTAAGTATTCTCTATCCCAACACTTGGGACCAAAGTGCTTTAGAGTGGAATAGCTCATGGTTAGCATGTGCAAGGCCCCGACCCCAAGTTCAGCCCCACTATTAAAAAACAAAACAAAACAAAATAACAAAAACCTGTAAGGTTTTGTATATTTTCAAACTCATGCATATACACAAGTTATCTTAAGAATGGGACCCAAGTCTAAACATGATATTCCCTCCATATCCAATCTAGTCTTAGTGCACCTCCTTTTAACTCAAAAGTCTGTAAGTTTCCACTTACTGCATCAGGTCAGTTCTGGGAAAGTTTAGATTTGGGAGCATTTTGGATTTTTGGATTAGGAAATGCCCAGTCTGTTTCCCACTAAGTCTACTTTATAATTAGCAGTGAGCACCGTTTTTATTGCAGGCTTTAAGACATTAGCTACAGATGGTTCTGCTTTTTTAATCTGGGCATTTCTCCAGCACTGCAACTTTTGGTAAGGAGCAACATAGACTCCTTTTCTACTGCCCAGTGTATTATCTTTTTTGCTGCTGAAACCAAATACCTGGCCAAAACAAACAAACAAAACAACAAAAAATTCAGAAAAGCTTATCGTGGTTCAAAGTTTCGATGGTTCAATCCACCAAGGCAGTGTAGATGTGGGGACAGGGCTGAGGCAGCTGGTCACACTGTATCCAGATGGGAAACCTTGAGCAAGGATTGCTGATACCCAGCTCACTTTCTCCTTTATTCAGTACTGGATCCCTGCCCATGGGTGGTGCCGCCCACACATAGGATGGGCCTTCCCACCTCAATCAGCATAATCTAGAAGGAACCTCCTCACTGACATGCCAAGAGGCCTTTCTCCTAGCTGAGTCTAGATCCTGTCAAGTTGATAATAGCCATCAGATGAGTAAAGGTGGTCATTCATTTCATCCAGCAGGATGTCTGGTAGTTTGGATAACATGGTGACTTTTTTTTGGACTGTAAGATCATAAAGTGATTTGTCTAACTTTATCATCACCTCAGGGTGTCTGAGGTTGGGTGTTCTGACCCTGCTGACCTCAGCAGAGTAACAGGGCAAACACTGCTGAGTGCTTATGGACATTTTCAGGTCTGTGCTATCTGGGCAAGGATAGTTCAGAAGTCTGGACTGGGGTGACTGACATTGCTCCTGAGCAGACTGCCCACTAGAGGCCTGACGGTAGCAGCCATGCTGGGTAGGCCAATACCCAAGACTGGTACACCCAACATTAAGTTTCTGTAACTGTATTTCATGCAACAGCACTTTTGAGAGCAAAACTGAATAGGAGTCTTTATAGTTGGGGTCCAACTCTCAGGAATGCCAACAGTTAGTGGTTAGATAAAGAAGCAGAGAGAAAAAGGAAGACATCTTCCAGGGCTAAGTTCAGGTTCAGAAGAAGTGACTGTCCATCTGATTTGTAGTCACAGATGATCATAAGCACAATTGTAAAATGGACAAATAGAGTTGCAGAGGTCTAGAGATGGAGACTGAATAAGGAGCTGGGAAAGATCAAGAGAAATGTTGAAGAGAATTTGGGTGAGCTGCAGGGAAGAGGCAACGGGCAGACAATTTAAGTGGCAGAAGCGGGGCTGGAGAGATGGCTCAGTGGTTAAAAGCACTGCCTGCTCTTACAGAGGTCCTGAGTTCAATTCCCAGCAACCACAACCATCTCTAGTGGGATCTGATGCCCTCTTCTGGCATAAAGTTATACATGCAGATAAAGCACTCATATGCATAAATAAATAAAATCTTAAAAAAAAAAAAAAAAACAATTAAGTGGCAGAAGCACCACAATGGTTAATCCTGAGAAAGCACCTGGCCTGGGACCCACCGACATGTGGCAAGGGTCTTACTCAGGGAGGCAGCTGCAACAAAAAGGGTTTGAAAAGTTTCTTTATATCTGCTGGGTTACATGTGGGAGCAGCAAACCAAGGGCAATCTCTGAAAGACATGCAGCTTGGAGTTTCTGTTCATTCACCAAGCTGCCAGGTAGTAAAAACTGATGGAGCTGGGGAGAAGTGGAGATAGTTCAGTAAGTAACTTTCACGCAAGCCAAAGACCTGAGCTCAGATCTGTTGTACCAGAACAAAAAGCACAGCAGAGTAGCTCAATCCCAGTGCTGGGGGGAAGTAAGAGAGGCAGGAGGGTCACTGAAGTTTGCCAGCCAGCAGCCTTGTATAGTACAGTAATCCCCATATTCAGTGAGAAATTGTGTATCAAAAAGTAAGGTGGAAAGAGATGACACGTGACACGGATCTCTGGCTTCACAAAAACTTCACGTGAACCCCTTCCCCCAAACAAGTTCACAGATACACTACACACACAAAAAAGGATGCTTACAAACTAACAAAAATGGGGAAATCATTTTACCCATTGAACTCAATGAAGTAACAATAACGTGTATCTATACTAATTTAAAATACTTTTACTAAGCACCAAGAACAATCCCAGTATTTTCACCATCACCTTTATTATTCAAACACCAACCAAAACGTCATCAGTTTATTTAGGTTTTAGCCAAGAAATCCACAAAATGTAAACCTGACAGTCAGTGCTTGATAAAGTGGGTGCCCCCCCTCCACCGTGGGGGTTTGTGAAACAGGATTTCATGTCACCTACAACAGCCTCAAAACTTGCTATGTAGCTGAAGATGGCATTAAACTCTGATCCTCCCTCCTCTTCCTCCCAAATGCTAGATTACAAACACACCACCATGCCCACCCTAAATTTTTCAACACTGTTTAACTTATACATTTTAATTAAGGGGACTTGATGGCCTCAGGCTGGTTCTCATTGGTCCATGTGCTAAATATCATACAACCAAGCACACACATGAAAACAGTAAAATATTGCATAATCAAGAAGATGCCTAGTTCTCACAGGCATACTGCAGAGCAAGTAACACAGAGACAGCCACAATTCATAATGCATATGGAGAACTAAAGTTGAAAAAAAAAGGACTATGTTCTGGGATGCAGTGAAGGGACATTCAGAAGCTTCACGGACCAGATGGCTGCCCCAGACTAGGCAGGGAGTGGACGTCAATGCGTGTGCCCAGGGATTCAAGGCGCCAGAAAACAAAATGGGCAAGATCAAAAACAAGCTGGAGATGCACTGACTGTTCACGAGGTATAGAATATTTTGTTTTGAGTAAAGAGAGGTACTCTACTCTGAAAAAAATAAGTAACAAGCATATAAAACTCAGACAATCCAAGCCAGCCTTTGGCCCTCAGACCTCACCTGTGCTTTCCTGCGACTCCATTCCTTACACTGACCATCACAGCACGTGCTCCTGATGTGTGTGCCTTCAAGACAATGAAAAAGGACCCAGAAAACGCAGCTTACCGCAGATAAAACCCAACATTAAGGTAAGCATCCTCCTGTAATAAAATATGCCAGTGGCAGCACATTTTAACCACTTTTGACACACATGCAAAAAATGCTCACCCTGTGCCCCTCTGGAAGCGTGGCATTGTTGAGTCAGATTCCTCGTGAGGTAGTTCAAAGTTTTGAAACAGCAAATCTATATATAGATTTGCCTATACTACCATGGGTGGTTGTTAAGGCTGACACCAAACTCTCTATCCCCTGGCTTCTCAAACTATTAAAAATCTTTTCCTTCAGGCTGTACCAAATTCACAACTAAAATAAACCAAAGAGATGAAGGCACAAAATGACAAATGTTGTCAAAACAAATGGCAAAGGCCACATGAGAATGTGTGTGATCACCCCCACAGTCCAAACTTCCCTAAAGAATTCAAAACCAAACCAACAAACTTTACTTGGTTTATCAATGCTTAAGGTATTTTATAAAGTAAGAGAACTAGAGAAGCTGAGGCAGGGGAATTGTAGGTTCAAGGTCAGCCAGGGCTTCCTATTTAAAGCCTACCTTATAAATAATAAAGAAATCATAAAAATGGGCAGAACATACATTAACACCATGGCACTACCCCACAGAGTTCCTCCAATACAGCATGTCTAGAAGGAAAGATGCCTGGCAGGGTCACAAGGCTGCATGGCAGCCCAGCGTGCTCTCAGGTCTGCTTCAGGGGTGCAGGAATATTGGCAGATGCTTGCTCAAGGAAGGCCAAGGAGCCCTGTGGCATTTCGGCCGGTTTCTTGTGCTGTACATTGATGTCGTCCAGCACCTGCTGCCAATGCCTCAGTTTTGTCAAGTGCTTCTGGACCAGCGCATCTTTCCGCTGCAGTTCACTCCTTAATTCTGAGACATCCTACAGATGACGGTGGGAAGGGGGAAAAAGAAAGGGATGAGGTTAGTCATAATAAACAAGAGTAAATGGATAAAGCTCCCCCTTAGTTAGGAACACTCAGAATGACCCTGGTGGCGCAGGCCTGTAACCCAGCTAGCTACTTGGGAGGCTGGGGCAGGACCA